TTTTTGTGTAAAATATTTTTTTGTCTTCTTCTTGCGAAATTTTTACACTTTCTTTAAGGCTTTTTTGTGTAGATTCCAAATCTAATTTTTGTTTTTGCATTTGAATTTTGCAGGATCAAGATCCCACCCTCGTCAAAATTGCGCCTGGCGCAATTTAAGAAAACAAATTCGGTTTTTGAGTTATGGATTAGGGCTTTCGTGGGCTTTATGTGGGTTATGTTTAAATGGGCTTTGGGTTGTTTTTCAATCAAAAGGAGGCCTAATTTTAAACCCAATTATGTTTTTAATATGTTTTAAAACATAAAACAAAAAGCCCTAGAATTTGAAAACACCCCATTCACGATTTTTCACCAAGATTTTCTCACTTGTTTTCAAATCTTCTCTCAAGAAATCTCAAAGAATCTCAAATTATCTCTCATCTCTCTCTTTTTCAATACACTTAGGGTTTATTGGGGGGTTTTTCTTTGTTGATCATTAAGCACGATCAAGAACCATGAAAGGTTCATCTTCCTCCAAGCCACATGACAAAGAGAAGGAAAAGAAGAGAGTGTTGTTGCCTCCACCAACCAAACCGGGTATGATTCCTCTTGAACCTCCTAGGATTTATCATGAAAAGTTAGTTTTTGATCCTAGGGAACAAATAAGAAAATATGAGGAAGCTATAAGAATGAACCCTAGGAGAAACCTATCCATTGTTGGTTCAAATTCTGAAAAAATCAATATGGAATCTCATGATGCTAGGGTTAATAAAGAAGGTTCTAGTGAAAAGAGATTAGGAGGTGTTGTTGACTTTTTACTGCAGAAACATGTGTCGGTAGCCCTGTTTGACCATGTTTTTGACCCATTTCCCATTATTATTTGCCAAAAAGGACCACATATTCTTAAAGAACATACATAGATTATTTCTACATAAAAGTCAAACTATAGTATTTTAGGAAAAATATGAGATAAATACGGTCAAAGTTGGAAGAAAATAACAGAATTCTGTTTTTTTGCAGAATTGCGCCTGGCGCATTTTTGGAGGGCAATTTGTCAAAACGCACATTTTGATTAATGAAGGGCAAGTAGGACATTTCTCACATGTTCAAAACCGTGAGTTCAAGTCCAAGTGAGGTGGTTAGGTGAATCTCAAGCCTTTTCCACCTAAAATGGAGGGGAGTTTCAACCAACCTATGGTGCTATAAAAGGAAGCCATCCATCCCTCAGCAAATCATCCCTTCCAAGCTTC